AATCTAAATACGATCAAATCAAAACCTCAAATTTTCAATAAATGTTAAATATAAATAAATAAATAATTTGATTTTTAAGAAAGGTAAATAAAAATATGGCAGGAAATACACCTTACAGTATTGACTATGAATTGACTATGAAAAAGCAATAAAGAGACCCAGGAGATAACTCCCAAAGTAAGGATCATTAAACAGTTTTTGATTCCCAATTAAAAACTGCATGCACATGAGTATTGTACACAATCCATACATTCCTGTCTTAAGACACTGCAGTGACATTTCTTGAATGTGTAGTTCTTTGACGTGAGATCAGAAAAACTAGTTTCTATGTGAAGCAAACTACCATTCCCCTACTGCTGTTACTGTATTCAGTCTCACAGAGACCTGCCTGCTTCAGCCTTCTGAGTGCTGGGACTACAGCTGTGCACCATCACACCCTGCTTCCTTATTTGTCTTACACACTGAGCCATATTGACTACAAAAATTTAGGTAGTTTATTAATTATTTACAAGAGCTTTGGTTTACTATAATAGTTAATGGGATTTTGGTATAAAAAGTCATCTACATAGTATGGCAACTCGATGGCTGCATAGTTCACATATTTGGACATAAATATCAACATATAGTTTATATAATAGAAACTGATACAGAAACTCATTATTAGAAAATCAAGGTGAACACCAACGTCCCTTTGAACATAACAGAAAGAAGGTAATACAAATACTAATTTTAACAATAAGCACTCAAATCTCTGCCTTATTTGGGGACAAAATTTATGTTTTATTATAATTGGTCTTCTGTGAAGTTAATTGGAAACATGTTGAGACGGACTCATTCAATTAGGGGAATGGGATTAAGTTATGCCATTAAAACACCTTTATAAATGGTTAGTGCCTCCACATTTCTTCTATAAAATCCCATCAAAGCAACTGATTCTATAATTTTCACTATCTGTTTAGATTATGTTCCCGTAATTTTGAAGTACATTTGTAACTAAGTTAATTAGTTATGAGCATGGTTGATTGCATAGTAATAAAGTTTTTAAGCACAAATTGCCAAAATGTCTTGGCTTTGAAGAGAATAAAGAGTACTTCTATTATGACTCCTCTTAGCACTTCTGAAAATAACTGTCTAATACGTTTGCCTACTTAACAAAACTTTAAAAAATACTTTCTTCATTAATGGCACTGTATATAAGAAACATATCCACAGGTCGCATAATGTTTAAACCAGTAAAATGCTGATACTAATGTAAATCAATATGGAGGCATGCATTTCATTCAATGCATTATATAATTTGGATAAAAGAATAAAGAAGTGAAAGAGTAAATAGAGTTCTATATATCAAAAGCTGAATAATAGTCTATTTATACTGAGATAAATCTCTGTGTTACCAAAAACTTGCTTTCCAGTAATAACCATATACATAGTTCAATGCTAAATTTATTTAAATTATGTTACTGATAGCTATCTTTAGTATAAAACGCAGATACAGCAACATACAAAACTAGACAAATATCACCTTCAAACCCTGCTTTACACATAAAGTTATTATTCAAACAAGTTCCTGTACTCATATATAAATATATGCAAACATTCACAACACTAAAATACACAAACAGAATTTTTGTATATTAACCCATAATATGTGTAACAAGAGTTTTAAAATATAAAGTATATTTCATTAGGATGTCATTATTTTGCAATAATCTATTCTTAAATATGATATTTGCTTATAAATAAACATGGCTGTGTATTGTGAGTATTATTGGCCTAAAGATTTATTTGAGAAGATAAGTGTTCATACACAGAAATATGTACAAATAACACTAAACAGTCATTGGTACATTTGCTTTCCTTATTTCTTCTAGAGATTTGCACATTTAAAGTAGAAATTTACTTCTATTTTATTGACAAAAATGTGGTTTAAAGGAAACAATAAAATAAGCAACATCAGAATCAAATAGATTTGGTTTGGGTTTTCAACAAATTCTCAGTCATTCTACCTGATCAATAGTATGGATACCATATATACACATTTTGGTTCCATCACATTGGGTATAATTGCTAATAAATATTTTTCTAATTATTCAGCAATGGCTTAGAACTAAATGGAATGTATGACATCTTGTTATTATTTGTAATATCCCTTTTTACTTCATGTGATGAACTATTAAATTTCATTCTATAATTTATGTTCATATATTATGTGAATTCATATACTTATATGTATATGTCTTTCACTGTTTTATTTGGTGACGTAGAGAGTTATGCAGTATGTTTAGTTAGTATTCATGCTTGTAAACTTGAATGTTAGAAAACCTCAGGTAAAGAAAGCAGCTGAGCACTCAGTCAAATCCTCTTATAAACATTGCAACAAAACACCCACATGGAGTCTAGTCATAAAGATAATGAAAGTGTGTTTATGAACTGAATCGTCTTAGCAGGGTATACTTCATTATCTAAGAGTTCAGAACAAACCTGAATTGTAACAATGGAACATATGAAAAAGCATAGAGGTCATGTAATGATAAGTGTGAACGGAGATGTTAAACACAAATTGGTAGTAGTTGCAGGATATGAACTTTTCCTGAAGCCTTCATGTTAATGAATTCAGAGTGTTTGCAATTTGACCACAGAGAACTCATGGGCCTGGTGGAGCCTCTCAGAACTCTCCTTGATTCTACCCTCATATTTTTATGTACTTTAAAGTGCATTTTATTTATTTGGAATAACTTAATTATTTATTTGTTTTGAGAGTTTCATTCATTAATATCGTACCTGCATTAATTCCACACCTACCAGTCCCCCTCCAATTCCTCCCATATCCCCCTCACTCCCTCACAATTTCTTGTCCTTTTCTGTGACATCATAGTTACCTAAGCATGCATATATTTATAAAATACATCTAGTATATGTCATGCAATGCCTGTGGGTGACAGAAGAAGGTGTCAGATTTCCTGGAACTGGCGTTACACACAGTTGATAGCCATGCTGTAGGTGTTGGGACACGAACCTGGTCCTCTGCAATAGCAGCTGGTGCTTTTACCCTCTGAATCATCTCTCCAGCCTCTGCCTATCTGTTTATAAGGATGGTCCCTGGGTACTGCTTCTCAGGAGCTAGGCCCTGCAAAAAACCCAATCTCCTTCCCTGAGCATCCATTGATTGCCTGTAGCTCTAAAATTGATTGGGTTATTACTAAACATTTGCCTAAGTTGTAAATAGGTATTTAGTTCCTTGTTTCGTGATAGAAACCACTCAGGCAGGACGTTTCCTGGTTTTTGGATTAAGCTGATAGAACAAAGCTCTGTAATATGCAGCTGAGCAATGTTCAATCACATTTTGGCATGTTATCCTATACTGCTGTTTGCCAGAGTGAAAGGAAAAAGGAGAGCAGAATTTATAGTATTCCCTGAAAAATATATATCTTTGGATATTTCTTTTAATGTCTTTCAAATACTACATTATTAGAGGGCAAAATTAATTTCTTGTTCAGAAAAAGAATTCAAGTTCAAGACATAGAAGTCCCTCAGCTTAATGAATTTCATGTATATGTGTGTGTGTTTGTGTGTGTAGTTCATATACACAAATGCATGCATGTTTGCTCAAGTGTGCAACAGACAATATAGTTAACAATCAAATTCAAATAGAGCACTAAAAATCCTACTGAATCATTTCCCACCTTGTAAGATTATTAAAACTGATATTTAAAATGAAATATACTTGAAAATTTTATCCAATATATGTGATATTCTATATTTGTTTTCAAAACAGCATTCATTTAAATGTTACAATAATATTCAATGGGAAAATACCTAGTGAATATGGATTTATAAAACATAAACAATTAACTATATCATCTACATTGTTCTGTTATAGGTGCAAAAATTAAAATATCTAATAAGAGTACAGCAAAATAAAAGAACTTTTTATTGCATACAGCACTTGTGTAAACAATATATGTAAATACACTAACCTGTTTTAGGGTCTACTGAGAAGTAAGGTTGTCCTTGGAGGATACTGTAAACCACTCGTGCACTGTTTCCATAAGTGGGGTCATCCGCATCCGTCGCTGTCACCTGTAGAACAGAGGTACCTGTGCATTCAGGAAAACAAATTTTAGTGTGCGATGGCAGTTAGCACCTGAATTATTCGAACACAGTAAATGGTTTTGCTTAACTAGTTATATTGTACCAAAATGAACATGTCCTATGAAATATAATTCCTTTAGATTTTGTTTTATTTGTATTTAGGTATATATGAACCAGGTATGAACATTTGTCTACAGATGTGCACAAGGCCAGTAGAAGGCATCAGACCCCCTGGAACTGAATGGGTGCTGGGAACCACTCTTGTATCCTCTGAAAGATCATTTGCTCTTAACCAGTGAACTGTCTCACCAGCCACCTGTAATTCAATACTTAAGTTTTTAGTCTCAGATATATAGTTTGCTTTCTTCCATGCTCTCAACTACAGAGAGTCTCAAACAGAACACTAGTTGCTAGGTATTTTCACATGATTCCTTAATTGACAACTTTGGGAAAGATATTGATGATGATAACCTGGGTGGGCTTTGATGGATGCTTAAAATCAAAGCAATATTGACTCCAGTTAAATCAAGAGTACAATGAGCTTTTGAGGTTATATACTTTGTTACTATTCTGAATACCAGAGAAGTGAAAGTATGGGATTAAGGTGAGAAGTTGGGAAAATTGACATTATCAGTGGCGTTGAAGAGCCTGTTCAGTTTACTTTGCATCATTTATGGTTTTCCATTTATTTTTCCTGGACTACTAATGCATCTCAAACTAGTGCCCTAGATTCAACTCTCATTCAGTTCTGTGACTTGTATACAGTACTAACATACTTATCTTTATAAAGTAGGTACCAAAGTATGTTGTTGAACTGCAAGAAACTTTAATAAGTCAAAAGATTAACATAGTGTATTTGGAATACTAATGTTCCAGATATATTATTCTGAATTTCTTTTGTTTATATTTTGTATATCTCACTAAATACATATATAAATCTTAATTATGTTGAGGTTATTCCCAAGTGAATGTTTTTCTAAATTTAATGTGGTAGCCATCATTTATGAGTTATTTAACTTCAACTTAGAATCAGTGAGCAACTGTACATGTACACCATACCAGGAGAAAAATTCCACCTTATAATTTGAATTACATATCAAATAAAAATATTTTCATAATCAAGTTAAGGGGAACTTTATAACAATTTGTGTCCATATTGGAATTTGGAAAGTTGATAATTTTCTGTTGTAAATTTTAGTAAAGTTTTAGGAACCAGTACCTGTTCAACTACAAATATATTTCTCTGATGAAATACAGACACAATTTTAAGCAAAGCTTTTTCTGTTTCTTTGCCAGATTGTAGACAAAATAATAGAATTAGTAAAAGTTAAAATGATAATCCTTACTTTCAACATAAGAGCATGTGAACGTCTGATAACTTGCTGTGATCCTAATCTCCAAAATTGCTTTCACACTGGAAATTTCATAAAAATGTAGAAAAGGAAAAATATGTTATGACTAAAAGTGATCTCAAGTTTTAGATTATTGAAAGACATTTGTTGAAAGAATTCATTGAATTGGGTGATACACAACTTATGTTTGGATTTTGAGACCTTGACTATGTTCTGTATAAATAAGCACATAGTTATCATAAGATCCAGAAAACAGCATTGCATTCATGGCAAAGAAATAGAAACTTACATTCACCTCAAACCTGTTAACACATACTTATACAAGAATTGTTTATCATAGTCTCAAACTGGAAATAGCCCCAATGTCTCTTAGTGGGACAATCATTAAGTATTACATTTATAGTACAGCATGCTAGTCAAAAATGAATAAAAACTGAGTTGCATACTGATTCATACAAAAGCTTGAATGAACCTAAGTTTAACAAAAACATCTTTCACAATATTATGTTGTATTGTTCCATTTATTTAATATAAAATTAATAGTTTAAAAATGGACCTCAGACCTGGTGTTGTGGCACAGGTCTTTTATCCTAGCACTCAGGAGGCAGGTTCAGGTAGATCTCTGTAAGATCAAGTTCACCCTGGTGCACATAGTGAGCTACAGGCTAGCTGGGGCTACAGGCACTGCCTGTGTCAAAGAGACAAAAACTAATGGACATCAGACATCAAACCCACAGCTAGATGTGCTGATAGGGACTGTAGAGAATTTAGTTGGTTGTAAAATGATGAGTGAATTTGTGATGTTGAAATGTTCAACTTTTTTGAAAATGGTAATTTAGTACATGTAGTACTGGTTGTATCCTTTCAAGACATCGC